TATTATTTTAAAATATATTTTAAATAAAATATATTTATTATTTTGAAATAAAGTACATAGTACTGAAACCATGGAAAATATGGATTTAGAGGGTGACGTGGCAGGTTTATAGTGGGAGAGTGGGGCCCATATTGAATGTGTATATGCGTGAGCGTGTAGGTTAGAGCGAGGACAGGTGAGAAGTCACGTGATAGTCAAGCAACTTTATTTGACCTCAATTAATTACGTCACTAATTACGTACTTAATCTTCGGTTACGAGATTTAGTAAATTAAGACTAAGTCTCGGATTTTTGGGCAAAGAAAATAAGGAAGCGTTTGGGTTTGATCTATACGCTATGGACTTATCAATAGGCTGTACCTTAACGGTCGTATGATTTAGCTTCTGCTTTTCACTCGGATAGGCCATAGGAAAATGATTGATTGATTAACAACAATTTATTTTTGACAGGGTTATTACGACTTAGACTTTTGTTAAAGTCACACAAAAAAGTGTAACAATTGTGTTTTTGTTATTTTCAAAAAAAAAAAAAAATTGTGTTTTTGTTTTGTTAAAAATATTAATTTGCAAATTTTTGTAATTTGAAATATAAGTTATTTTATTAATTGTTCTAATTGTCTTAAAGTAATTATATTTTTTTTTTTTTAATTTTTTTTTCATTAATTTTTTTTATTTTTTAAAATAAATAAATATTTTTCTACTCTAACCCTGTTAATTTTTATTTATTTTAATTAATTATTTTATTATAAAAAAATTTTATTTTATCTTTTTTGATTTTTTAATAAATAATATATGTAAATATATAAATTATTTTAAATTTTTTAATTTGAAGAAAAAACAAAAAAATTAACAATTATTTTTAGACAAAATAAATAAATATTATAATTATCAATTATTTTTAATAATTAGAGTGCATTTTTAGTGTACTTAACAAAAGACTAGATGTCCATAGCCGTTCCCAAAATTAATTAACAATATTTGTTTACAACGTTTTTATGAACTTTCTTTCACCTGACAAAACAAGTAATCATGGAACTCCAACAGTTGCAACATGATAAATTAATTTTGAGACGTACACACTAGTTAGATAACACACTCAAATGGTATAAGTAAGAATACTCCTATGAGGAGTTACATATTTTCAAGTTGATTTAAAGAGAAAAGTGCAAGAAATAATTATGAAATTAATTAAATATTTTTAATAAATTATTATATAATAAATTATTAAAAATATTTATATAATTTTATAAATATTTATATTTTTTTACAACTTGACATAAAAAATACTATTCTCTAATAATAATATTATTATTAATTAATAATGTTTAGTAATAAAGGTTGCGAACGGATTTCAAGTAGATTTACAAAGAAAAAAAATTAACAATATTTATAAAATTAATTACATATCTTTTTTTTAATGGGTTTATATTTGAGAAGGAAGATACTAATCCCGACTCTTATGCTAGGGATGCATTTTATTACAAGATTGATAACTATTGAGTTGCGAAATTCAAGTGTTACATACCATTAATAAATCAAATTTTAAAAAAATTACTAATAATGTGAAAATAATTTTATCATTTCTGTACTTTTTCATGTAGGTCCACTTAATAAACACTTTTTTGATTGCGAAATTTTTTTGGTAAAATGTTTTTGTGATAATCGAGGAGGGTCGTAGAAAAGCAAGGCCATCAGTCGCACGTTTGGATCGTTGCTGAACAAAGCACTGTATGCTGTTTTGTTCTTTTGTGGTTGAACACTGACTAGTCCTCTATTCTTGAACCACGCTAGCTAGGGATGATATTATCAGGGCCGTGGAGTGCATGACTCATTTCCGTTCGCATCCAGGGAAGGGTCCATTCGAGGGTACGTGAAGACAAATCTATCAGTGTCTCTTTGCAGTGCCAAAATCGAGTAGTGAAAATGTCCCCCAAGTGTAAAAAGCAGAGCCTCGGGCCAGGCTGGAGGAAGGACCATCATCATCTCTATATGGGCCTCTCTATATTCCAAGTGTTCTATCAATTCCCAGATACAGGGGTGGGAGCTAAAATCTGGGAAAAAGTGAAATGCATGCTTCTGCCATGAATAGCAATGGTTTTGAAAGCCAGTAACTGATGGAGACATGCACCGGTTATGAAGGGGAACACTGTCAACTCCCGTTTTAGTAGGGTTTCTCTCTTTGTGAAGGGTTAGATGAAGTATGGAGAAATTAGATAGCTGGATCTCCAATGGCAAAGAAAATTAGTGTGCCTTACCCTGTACTATATATTAAAAAAAAAATTTACAGATCAAATTATTTTAAATAGTAAAACACTAATCTTTCAATAAAAAAAAAACTCTACTCATTTATTTTTTTTTTTAAACAATTTCAATTATAAAATAATATACGCACCTGGCTCTTGCGGTCTAGTGGCAATAACCACCCCGGTGTATTTCTCCCTCTCTTGAGCTGGATTTGAAACCTGCCCCTTGCAAATATGTTCAAAAAAAAAAATAAAAGAATATACTTATTCCGTATACACTGTAGAGCATGAAATAATCAAGCTCACATCCACCCATTTAGTTTTTTTTTTTTTTTTTTTTTAATAAGGGTAATTATATAAAAAATAAAAAGAAAATAAGCTTAATCCATAAACTGAAAGAAATACTTATAACATGTGAATTAATATGTAAGTCAAGCGCAAATATTTAAGTTGATCCACCGCCTAGTCATCTATGCCTACAAAAGTTGAAATGGGTAGCCTGTAGTTTTAGGGTTAACCAAACCCTCAACAACTCCGTGATATTAATGATACCATCAAATTATTCCAATCAACCAAATCTTACTCATCGCTTGTTAGTTGGAAACAAACCATGCGTTGGGATCCTCTTCACAATTTCCTTTGACCGCATTAATGTATCCTTGCCAACAGTTTTCATTTGGTTTGCAAAATTAAAATGACTTTCAAAAAAAATTAAATGATATGTAACATGATTTTTTTATGTGTATAAATTTAAAAATAGATAAACGATGTTATTCCTTTTCATTTTTCTGAAAAATAACTCCCCCTTTTCCAAAAATGAATTGGGATCTACTAGATAACTTAGTTGGTCTTCTTAGTTCAAATCTCCTATTACTTGAATTAGTGGCTTCTCCTTACCTCTAGGCTCTAATTGGTAGCTCAGGGTTAATGACTTTTGGAGGAGGGCAGGGCCGAGGCACGATGCACTAAGGTTCTTGGTTGCATGAATAGTTTGTGTAACATCAAATCAAACTTTCAAAATGATGACATAACCTTTGCCGGGCTATGATGTTAATTTGTATCTTTGTGCAACCAAACTTCTACTCCACGACACTGTCCAGCGTCCACTCAGCAGCAACTTTCTCTAAGAGCCTAAAAGTAAAAGGAGACGCTTCTTCCTCAAACACGAGCACTTCGTCAAATGTGGGCCTAAGAGGAATAAAACATCGAGAGCCGAAAGCTGAATTAGAATGATTTCATAACCTAATTATTTTGTCGAATCCTGGTACAGATTAAATAAAATAATTTTGTGTTTCAAATAAGAAATGCACTACTTAGTGTTAGTCAATAGTTAGTTTCCATAAATAGTAGCGTTTTCAAAGAGAAAATAGTATTTAATTTTAAAATTTAAGACTTAGTAATATCTCTTTGAATAAGTGATGCTATACATGATGGTATGATATTAAAGGTAACTACTAATTGAATATGCTTTTATCTTATATTACTGAATTTGAACTCAAGTGTTGAACACAAATTTTATACACTTTAAATAATATTTTTTCTTTTTTACTTCAAACAAAGACAACAATTTAAAAACTAAAAGCAACTAATTAGCATTAGACACGGGTACTTTAAAGTAAAATGTGAGGGCCTATGCAATGAAGAGTCTCACAAACTTGGATATTAAGTGGCTTGATTAAAATATGGCCATGGTGGGACTGAATAATCAATACCTAAAAATCGCATGACCTACCTTGTATGAATTTAACAACAATGGAAATTAATACCACCACAAAAGCTCGAAGGCTCATGTCATTATCTGACCAAATACCTACTCCATTTATGGAGGAAATGAATCTATATCAGCAAACCTTCAGGTGTTTCTGTGTGCGTGATTGTGGTGCTTTCATACGTGTAAAGCAATGCTAAAGTTGATATAAAATGTCTCATAGTAAACAGAGAGGGAAAATTTCTTACATTAGCAATGTAACTTCCATGTCAATATGTCATCATCAGCACGCTGCTTCAAAAGAGAACAAGAATTGCTTTATAAAGATTAAAATATAAATTGAAAAGCAAATGAGGGAAAAGAGGCACATATAGATAATTAATTACCTCATATGTCCAATTCTTGTAAGCTGCAGATCATATTATCAGGGAAAGAACTATTCGGAATCCATTCTTGCAGAAAACCAAGAATACAATGTTCAACATTGTTTTTGCTCTTACTTTTCAGCCATGAAAGTTACTCCACTTAAAAATAGTTGCAGTTCCTGATCTAAGCAGTGCCATCTTTTGATGCTATGATTAATTGACCAGGTATGAAATCAAGCAAAATATGAAATCAGTTAAAAAAGAGTTACTGAAATTCAACAAAATAGGGTGCCTGCCTAGGGAAAAAAAGGGGTTTATGGCCCCTGCACCTGGTTCATCAACATCAATGAAAAAATTCAACAATCCAATAGAGCTTGTAGTTCAACCGCAATATTTGTTGAATAAACTACGCATTGTAGATATGGACAGGGCAGTTCGCCTACCAGATTTGAGCAAATCACCTGCAGTTTGCCCAACAAAATCAATTCGATGTGCATTCAGGAACTTATAATGTATATGAATTATAATTTAGTTACAAAAACTATGTGAACCATTGCACATCCATTCAAAAGGAAAAAACAATTGATGTATGAAAGCTTTTCCTCAGCTATGTTGATTCTCTCTCCGTATGGTTGATGGAGCAGGTGGTATCATAGTTTCATCTAAACCTCTTGTAGGAGACTCTTCTTTTAGCATAACTAGTTCCTTTTCCGGACTAGAGGATTCATTTGAAACTCTTCTAGGGCTTGAAGAATTATCAAAGAAAGTCTTGGCTGGGCTAGAGTGGTACACAGGTGGAGAGCTTGGGCCAGATCTACATTCAACCACCCCATCTTCGTGGGGTAAAGGGGGTATTGGTGGTTGGTCGCCGTTTTCCATCTGTTTTGTACAGAACTTATCTTCTACTAGATCATAAGAATTCCCAGTCCGTGCTTCCTGTGCAAGGGAACACCAACAACAGAATAGCCACAGTGTGCAATCACTAGCTGCTGGTTGTCCAAAACAGAAGTCATAAGCAGGCAAATTGAATCTCTTCCTCATTTGAATCCTCCAGAAGCCACCATATAGTAGGCCAAACGCACAAAGAACAATTCCAGTAGCTACAAGAGCCTCCCTTACAGTCTCATTATTGATATTAACAGAAGCCAAGATGAATATCCAGAAAGGAGCCATACAAAACAGAATAAAAGTTGCAATATGAACAAACATGTTCCCAAACCCAAGTCTCTCCATGTTCCACCCAAAGACACAAAAACTACAAAAAAGAGAAAGATATGCCAAAGAAATGTCATCCCAGAAATCAAGTATACCTCCACTCCATCTTGGACTGCTCTCCACCATCCTCTCATCACCTCCAGACGCAAATGAATATGTCTTCTCCAGTGATTTCGCTCTTAACTGGCATGGCCTTCTACTTTGCTCAGTGGTAAGTTGAACTTGTGCTTCCTCATCCATTTCAGTATCATAATCCCTCCCAAGAGGGCTAATAATGGTATAAACACCAGCAATTGCTGGTGCTGCTATTGCAACAGATATACATATCCCGACTCCAATTGCAGGTCTCTCAGATCTCTTGTACCCCAAATTGAGGCCACAAAGTGCATATTGAGCAAAACAATTCACATGGAGTAGAACAACAACCACCATCATGTGTGCCCACTCATGGGGCTTGTAAGTCCCATTCTTGCAATATATCTTTCTGAGTTTAGAAATGTCCTCTGGTCTCCATCTACAAAGAAGTACCAGATGGTAAAATCGCTTTGGGTGTTGGTATAGACACATAAGAGTAAAGAGTGCATTAAGAATCTGGTTGTTAACCTCAAACCAGACATCTCTCTGAGACTTTTTATGAATCACACCATTTAACATTCCAGTCATGACAAGAAACAGAATTGCACCCGAGATAGCCACAAGCATAATCCACAGAAAGAGAGCCATATTCATTGGGTCCCTAATCCATTGTTTGCCCATATTCATGAGAGAAACCCAATCAATCTTCCTATGCAAAACCCCATTCAGGCGATCTCGAAAACCATGATGACCACTTGAAGAAGCTACCACAGAACGCGAAATCTCATCTCTTTCCTGAGCTATCAGAATGAATCTGGCAGATGGAGAACGAAATTTGAGCAAATTTGCAATAGCAGGCAAGCCGCCAAGAGGCCTTCTCTGAGGGTTTTCATCACTCAGTAGAGTACTCTGGGAGGTTGAAATGCCAACAGGAATCTGTCCCTCTGTCTTTGCACCGTTAGATTCCTCAACTTCCAATTTGTGATTCCCATCATCACTTGAAGTCATTATTGCACCAAAATTCAAAAAGAACAAACTCCTTTGTGTTAATTTCCAATCCCCAATTCTGAAAATTGAGGAAGCATCATTATCTATGGATTTGTCAGTTACTGCAGCAAAAAATTGTTGTTGTCAACGGAGAAGAAGAAGCAATGAATCTAGGAAGTGAAAGCAGATAAAGCAAAGATTCTCTATAACCTCAAAAAAGCGTAAACAAAGAACAAACCCACAAACAATACAAGAACTTGATAAACAGAGGGCGACCCAGTTGACAAAATACAATCTTTTATATAAATCTCAGAGCAGAGAGGAATATAAGAACATGAAATTAACCAGGACTGTTACGAGATCTGAGAAAAAGACATGGGTGTAAAAACTGAAGTGCTGATTGATAATAAGAAAGAAGGAAACGCAAGCTGAGAGAAGATGAACTAATCTGAACTAAACGTAAACAAAACAGAGAAAGTCGTAAGACATACATCATTAACTTTTCAGATCAGACAAACTATGTAAGGGTAAGCTCAGAAGAGAGGAGGATTGATACTTTCGAGCCGGGTCTAGTGGCGGCTGTCCGCGTGATTCTTTGCGTCTTGGGTAGGACAACGGAAAAACGAACTTGCATTCCCTCTTTTTTTTTTGGAAAAGATACAATTTGGGGTAGGGATGTAGAATTTTAGGATGACAATATCATGGCTTAAATTTTAGTTATTATTAAAGTGTTAAGTGCATTTAACAGTTGATTTATACGGTGTGATACTTATTTTTTCACATTAATTATTTATTTATTAGAAGTAAACTTTTCTAGTTACCTTTTTAGGTAAAAAAAAAAAAACTCAAAAGTAAAAACTAATTTTTTAATAAAGATTGTTCTCATGTAGAACATAAAAAAATATTATGCAATTTAGAGTTAAATGCACAACATAAATCATTATATAATGATAAGCTAGTATTGAAAATTATTTTTTTTGTTTAATAATTTTTATTTTTATTTTATATTTTAATATAGTGTAAATTGTAAAATAAAAAAAAAAAATTTTAAAGTAAACTTACTATTCAACTCCTTGGTTTATAAGTTCATCATGTTAATTAATCCGGCCGTAAATGATACTTAACATATAATGATAAAATTAATTAAATCGTAACTCAATTTTAAAGGAAGGAGAAATTAAAAAAAAAAATTCAAAGGGTGCCACACCTGGATTACTGGATATCTTCATTTCACGGGCAATTTCGCTTGAACATTTCAACTTTCTCCTCCGTTTACTTTTCTAATTATTTCTTTTAAACAAAAAAACTTGTACAGGAGCATAACCATGACGTTAGTTACAAACTCATGTTTACACAAAATCCCAAATTCCCAAGCAGAGTAACTCTAGCTAGTCATAAAAGCCAAGTACACCCGTTAAAGCAGAATGTCAAAAAACTGAGTATGACTGGACAAGGACACGATACGATGCAATCCATCAACATAAAAAAATTAAGTCCCTGGAATGTTACGGATTTGAAAATTTTAGGTAAGATCATCCTCCTCCATTTCTTTGGCTTTCAGCTTCTCCTTCACCCTCAACAACAGGGTTGTCTTCCATGGGTCCTGCATCACATTTTTGCAAACAGCAGCAACTTTAGACAACAAGAAATAAAAAATGGGATCAAAGGATCAGTATGTTTCTACCCATATTTTAATATGCTTACCAGAGGAGTCATGCTATCAAATTCCTTTACGACATCTGTGAACTTTCCAACATCCTCTTCATCAATGGACGCAGCAATATCCTGCCACAAGACACATAGGCTTACAATGGTCCATTGAGCCAAGAAAAGGAAGAAAACAAGATCATAAACATTTCCACCATTCAAAGCAAACAAATAGATGGCTATAAGGAAATGTTCCATCTAGGAGCAACATGGTTCTACTGAAGACCTAGTACCAGTGCACAAGCATGCGTGCAGGAAAGAGGAAGGAAAAAAAATCAAATATAATAAGTGCTATTAAAATTCAAACATAAACAACTAAAAAGTAATGGCTACAAAGGATTGAAACTGTGAGCAACGGCAAATGAAATACAGAACTAGTTTTTCAATCGAAACTTACAGCTAAAAATCTGCATTCTCTTGTTCCCGAAAAGGATGGATCCAGTTCCTGTAGAAGCATATTTGATACATATTTAGTTTAACCAACCTAAGCTAAAAGTCAAGATGTCAAGATGCAAGAAGAATGAAAATAGACCTGATAGCGCTCCAATGCATTAGTAATTGCAACAACATCTCCTTTGCAGAGCTGGCAAATGCCAGCATTAAGAAGATGTCCTTTAACTCCATACTTCAGCAAAGCAGTGTTTAGTGATTGTCGTGCTATCTCCTCGTAAATTTCAATAGCCTTCTGATATCTGAAGAAATGTTCGAAGGTAATTGATATTTATCAGAAAAATGACCGCAAGCAGGTTGCAACAATTGTCAACAACAATTATTAATAATCAACCATATGCATCTACATGTACATAGAATAGGCAAGTTTTTTCCCCTAAACATCAGCCACCTAATATAGTGATTTACAAGGAAAACAGCAACAAGATGCCCCAATTGCTTCAACTCTTTGTTTTACTGTTGTTTGACTTCAACACATATTGGATATCCAAATAACAAAATCATCTTGACAATATTGAGTTCATCTGACAACATCCATCAACCACAATATAGGGAAACATATCTGCAAGATTTAACATGCTGCACAACTCTTAGCTACATGATACATATTGCGATCTTAAAAAAATACCCATTAAAATTTTCAAATGTCAGCTTCATCTTGGAGTTTGTATTAATAAAATCACCACTGTTTATTGAAAAATAAATATTTCATAAGTAAACTTGCTTACTGTTCCAGCTCAGCAGCAAATTGAGCTACCTTCTGCCTGCATTGGTTTGCTGAGGTACTCACATCTTCATTTTGGAAGAAATCAGCTGCCTTTTCATAGTAGTCAATAGCCTGCTCAAGGTTCTTTTCAGACTCACACAGTTCTGCAATTTCCTGTCCAGGAGAAGAAGGCAACCAGGCAATTCAGTTTCTATAAAAAAACAACAGCAACACAGCTTTAAAGGATTTTTTCTTTTCATTTTCCTAAACTTTCTTTTTTGGGGAGAGGGATGGTTCGTTGTGCTTCAACATCAATGCTTTGTTTTAACACAATCGTAATTATAAGCACTGGCAAAAAAAAAAAGGAGTTGTATCATTCTGTAAGCAATTTTCATAAATGATCACATCAACGGGACCTTGTAGTATCTTGCAGCCATGCTGAGCCTTCCAATATCACAAAACAGATGTACTGCCTGCTGCAAACAAGATATGGCCTCTGCATAGCAACAAACTTTTGTAAGTTACAACCTAGTTGGGAAAAAAATTCCAAGGGGATGTAAGAAAATTAAAATGCAGAAAACAGGCACAAGACCATTGCTCAAAACTTCATTTTACTTACAAATCTGTCAAACAATAACATTTTTCTTATAATGCATTTTTAAGACTAAGGAATTCTGAAGACAATTCACATATGTTATGAGTTCATTATCTCAAGGTTCATCCAACTTAACCAGTATCATCAGTCATGCTTCAGAACAATGTGAAATACAAGAGATTAACATCTGATAACAAATTGCTTCCAAATCTTAACCAGGTGGAACAGATATCTTTGTACTTGGCAGAACTTTCCACAACAGTATATTAGTGTATACAATCTACTTAGGCAAGCCATATGTGGCCTCAATTGAAAGCTCCATTTTCTTTTGAATGCAGTGCAAAGAGGTAACATGAAAGATTCAAATGGGAATTATGATAATTCATCTGCAAAAGATAACAGGGATAACCACAAGAATGGCCAATGTTCACTGCCAAGAGAGAACAAACAGGGGTTGAATTTAAAATCACTTCTTACTTTCCGTCTATGACTAAATATGATCAAATTTTTCTGGAGTGATTCTTATAAGGGTAAAAATTACTCATGTATACCATTTTCATACATACCACTTGAAGATATCTTCTTATAGCAATGAGCAGCGTCAACATAGGCTTGAGCAGCTTCATGTTTGCTCTCTGACTATCGACATGATCCAAAACCATAAAATACAATATAAAAGTTAGTTATTTAAAAAATATATATTTATTAAGAGTGATGATTACCTTTAATTAAAAAAAAAAAAGAATGATTACCTTCAAATAACAGTTTGCCAACTTTACATAAGTTGATCCAGCTTTATCCCCTGAAAAACCATAAATAAAGTGATTAAATCAAGTTCAACTATAACATTAAACATGATTTGATATTGATGAACATATGCAAGAAATGACAGATAACTGAACACGAAGACTGTGTATAAAAAACACATAATTATTAGATGAAAATGCAATTTAACTCCACAATAATTAAATAAACAGATAATAATAGTAATCCTTACTGAAATCAATGTAATCTCCAGTGCATTACTCCTAATGTGATACATATGTCACAGGCAATTACAGAAATCATTCCAATCAATGTAATCACATCTCGATTGCACTGTTAACCAATCAATGAATAATATGATCCTAGCAGAAACATAATTGAAATCGCGCGAAAATCACTAAAACAAACAATCCTTAGCAAAAAAAATGAAAATTAAGAAAACTTCAATAGCACATTCACTCGGAAAGTAAAGAGATAATAGGATCGAATTCCAAAATGGCGTAATCCAACCGCAACAATCATGAGATCTCAAATTCTCACACATCTACACTACGTTTCATACGCCGGAGTGTTCAAAGAGACAAACGAAGAATCGAAAACTCAAAAAATGAAAGGATCTGATACGAACAGGCTTTGGCGAGCTTGAAGGAGTTGGCAGCCTTATCGAAGAGTTCGGCGGCGTCTTCATATTTGGAGCCAAACAAGCCCCAACCGTTGAGCTTCTTCTCAGCTTTCTTCTCGAAATCCTCCGCTCTGGCCAATTGATCATTCATGGTTCTTCGTCGTGATTAGGGTTTTGGTTTTCGATAGCAGAAACGGAAACAAAGGCCGTTGAGTGGAATGGTTTAGATTTTTTCAGGTTTCTGGATGATCCAAGGAAAACCTCTTCCTTTTCTATTAAGAAAGGAAGACAGATTTCTTATTTTTTCCGGCTCCGGGGGTGTTTCTACGACTTTTGTTTCGCCTTGGAAAATTGAGACCCGAAAAAAATATTGGGCTAGGGATTTTTAATAACCGATATTGGGCTAGGCTTGATGAAGATACTGTCTCACGCTTGATCCAAGATAATTGGACTGGGACAGAATTAATCCTTTGCTTTTCCAGCCAGCCCACTAAATAAAAAATAGGGTTGTAATTAATTAAGGGGTTTTGAATAAATTTTACAAGTTATATGTATATAAAATCTTATTTTTTTAATTTTTAAATAGTTGAGATTTATAATAATTTTTTAAATGATATAAATAATTAACTTTAATAAATATAATAAAAAAAAAACAAATTTCAAACGTTTAAAATTGAGAGATTCATGATGAAAATTTTATGTAAATATAATATATAAAACTTGTGTGTAGATTAATTATTTCTTCTTTAACTTGAGCATAAATTAAAGGTGTAATTGATGCATATTTTAGTCATTCAATGATATAAAAATATAAAAATTGATATTAATTTAATTAATATTGATGACATATTTATAATTTTAATTGATTAATTAATAAATTCTAAATTAATTTTTTCTATATAATTTAATAACAAAAAGATAATTTAATTAAAGGAGTGATTGAAGCTCTAAAATATAATTTTCCAAACAACCGCAATCTGAACTTTGCTTCTGTGAATGTGCAACAATGACCCGACCCTCAGAATTTCCACTCTGTTCCACAGCTTTCT